GGGGGGGGGGGGGGGGGGGGAGAAAGCGGCGGCGATGTGAGTACATTTAACAAATTAAAACGGATCGTGACGGCCATCAGAATATGCGCGCGATATCTCGAATTCCATGTCTCGCCCTGTTTATTCCCCCGTTGTTCAATCCTTCACCGGATTAATCGCGATAAACGGATTGACGTTTTATTTTATATTTCTCGTATTGCGCATTATCGATGCGCGTGCGGCTGTACCAGCACGATGCACTTAATAACGAATCTCTATCATTTAAGGCCGCACAGACACTACGAACGCGCGCTATATCGGGCGCCAATTTATTATCTCTAAATTCTTTTCGGGCGATAACTCCTCTCATCGACAATTAACGCGCGATCACGCCAAACGCTGCATGCGCTACGCGCATAAGATGCTTCGCAAGCACAATAATGAGCGTGCAATTGCGCCGACTGATGATAATTATAATTTGTAATAAGATTAATTATTATAATCACTAAAATTAATATTATAATTTATACAATATTAGATATATGTAATATTAAAATGTTAATTATTATAATTAGTAATAATTAGTAATAATTATAATTTGTAATAAGATCAATGATTTCTTCCTGTCGCGCAGTGTAGAAAACATCGAGGCTAGATGCCCTACATTTTAGAATTTCGAAGTTACGACTTCTCTCGACAACTAATTGTCGTGACTGATTGTATAAACATGAGCCAAATCTTCTCTCGTGTATTAATGCCCGCCACGACCCTGTTAACCGTATATTTTGTTTCGTAATAATCAAAATACGAACATGCAGTAATATAGCCATCTTGCCCTGTTATCGGGTTCAATCGCCCAGTAGCGCAAGATAAAGAACACGTATGAAACATGTATCTTGATTAGTAGTTCCAGAGTATCTGCGAGAGGTCTCCACTCTTGCCGGTCCTTAATTATGTACCAACTTTACCTCGTTCGCCCATATGCTCGCTTTTCAATCATTTTATGAATAAAAATTGTATTTAGTACCAGAAACGGCATATTATACATTTGCAAAAAATTTTATTCTAGCTAGTAACATATTGCTTTATTCAGACACAATAGAGAATATTAATAAAAAAATAGAGAATATTAATAATAAAAGGCTTGAAAATTCACTTTGCTTTATTATATATAATAATTTTTTCTCTACTTTTTAATTGTAACATTATTTTGATTTTAATGAAACTTAGGGAAAAATATTTATGTTCTTAAAGACAATTTAATATTTAATTTTTAAAGGACAATTTCGCGATTTTGTACTCACTATTTCTTTCAAGATAAATAGTAAAAAACAGCATACGAACAACATATATCTGGAACCATCTAGCCGCGATCTCCCTTACACGTAAAGGTCCACAAATTAAGCGAATCGTATTGATTTCTTATGGACATTATCCATCACACACATAAAACCTACCGCACTGAAAAGAAAATATTTGAAGAAAACCATTTTTTAAAATTCTACTATAATGTCAGTCATAATACTCTTTTATGCTACTATTTTCCTGTTAAAACGACAAAAAAATATGCTTGCCGCAAAAAATAACTATAATTTTGCTTAAATCAATTGTTATCGTTTCTTCTTCTCAACACATTTTCATTTTTATTATTATCCTTTTTCTTCTCAATGCACCTTAAATGTTTGTGTTTTTGACTTACCGAGCTACCGGGAATTCAGCATCGGTCGCGTTGCGTTTCAGTTCTGTAACAAAAATAGACACGGCATCGCCGATTAGATATGATGGTCAATAGCTTGATAAGAAAAATACGAGCAACATAGCGTTACGTGTACCGATTCGATTAATTCGAAAATTTTCGAAAATAATCACGCGCGACGTTTCTTGATCTATTTAGCGGCCCATTAAGGGCTGCTATGACTGATGACTCAACAGTTCTATACGTATATATGTCATTGATCCGAGGGTCATGTAATTTTCAGCTGGTAAGACGCGTCTTAGAGATCCATTGCGTTGTTCAATTAATTTCACATTATTCTCGCAACATTAATGTCTTATAGTACTTAATATACCCTTGACATGCAAACCATCAAAATCGTAACCTTTGTGATGACAGCTGCTCGTCTTAAACGGTTGAAGTGAACAACTTAGACAGAAATAGCCAATTTGTATCGCGCAAAAGAGAATCCCAACAATGGCATTTATGTGCCCTTTCAAAATAGGACACTTTGTGAAAGCTCACGGCGAATATGCCTCTCCATTTAGAGACCATTCGGAGACCATTACAAAAACCGCTACGCCGAGACTACGCAGGACCGCAAACGCACGCAAGATAAAAGAGAGGGCAAGAAGGAAAAACGCGGCGTTTTGTAAACGCGCATAATCTCCTAAATCCATTACCCAGTTTCCGACGGGCCGCAACCCTTTGACACGTCACACGTGGCCAAATGCGTGGTTAATGCTGTTTAACAAGCGAGATAGAGAGATAGCTTTCGACGTGACGATTCTAGTTCGCCACGCCGAACAAAGGCACGCCGAGCCGAAGAAAGTCAGCAGCAGGACACGATGTTTTGCCCTCCGGATGAGGGATGGCAAAGGGTCCAGACGAACGAACGAACGAATGGACGGTCGGACGGATCCGGCCGAGTTTATTACCCGAATTAATTGGTTTATGTGGGATTGCCCCACTCCGACATGCGTGGTTATATGGTGGAGTCGCAAGGGAAAGGGACGAAGAAAGAGAGGACGAAACGCGCGAGAGAACACTTAGACGAAGAGGATAGATTTCCACGATTATAGCGACATGGATAGTCTCGGTGCTGGAAACTTTACAATCTCTTCAATTATATTTCTTAAGTAAACATACTGTCCTGAATTAATCATTGAATTTGCATCCGACGATGATGTAAACCTTTTGTCGTGTTGATACAGCAACGCGTTTACCGAGGATTATACTCGCGGATTTTCATATTAATATGACGTATTATTCGGCGCGATCACTTTCTCCATATTTCTTTCGTGCTCTTATCTCATCGTTCTACGTGAGAAAAATGCATGTAATCTGATCAGTCATAAGGAACTCAATGCGTTGCTGAGAGTTTCGAGATTTAATATACTTAAAATTGCTGTAAAGTTTACGTACATCGGAGGAGATGCAAAGAGCACGAGAAAGAGAGAGAAAAGGGGGAAGAGAGAAAACCCTTTGAAAACGGAGTAAATAGGGGGATCGCGAGAGAAGAAAGGAGGGGGACGTCGGCGGTGCGGGGAAAGGGGCAAATAAGCAGGAGGGACGTCGACGGGGAAAGGGGGGATCGAGCAATTCGGAGAGTGGTGGTGGAGCATGCGCGGGTGGGAGTGGCACCTTATTCGTCGTACAGCTCCCGCCAAGGGTTTCTGTCAACTACGAACTGCCGGTGCAAAAGGTTCCCGGGTACCTGTTGTAAAGCGTCACAGCGACCGCTCTCACCCGCGCGGCATCCCACGCATGTTTGTAAGGCAAATTGACACCCCGTCGGTGCACGGAAAATTCGTTAAGAGAAGAAGGAAGAAAAATTCGCGACTCATTAATCACGCTCAGATAGAACCGATCCTAACGATCGCGGCAAGCGAGAGAAATCGCTGCGACGAATGGTGATACGAGACTTTCCTGATAAAGTCGCTCGCTTTGCCCATCTCCTCGACTCGTCGATCGAGTTCGTGTGACTGAAAGTGACAGTGAGGATATGCGCTCGTGAGGACGGCGTCGCGCGTCGCGTGAAAGGATACAGTGTCGATAGGCGGGCTCGAGAAAGTGTGCTAAGGTGGTAACGTGGTCTGCGAGAAAGAGGGAAAAAGAGAGGGAGAGTGAGAGAGAGGACGACGGGGGAGTCAAGTGCGACGAGGAGATTGCGTCCGCGGCCAGAAGACAACGTGTGGCGAAAGAAGGTAGAGAAGGTAGGGGTGGACAATCGGGATCGCGCGGCACGTGGCCACGGGCGAAAGTGTCACGTGGGTGGTGGTGCATCGCGCGGTCGTCATTGTCGCGGGTGTTGCGTCGCGCTCGCGAATTTCCGCCAACGTCCTGACCTAATCGGGAGAAAGACTTTCTGGCGAGAAGGGAAACGGCTGCGGGAGATTCGCTAATTCGCGAAAGAAACGCGAACGGAACAGGCGGCAGTTCGCGCTCGTCGATCCCCGACCGCCGACCCTCTCTTCCTCCTGCCGCGCGCGCGCGTGTGTGTGTGTATGTGTTTGTGTACGTGTGTGTAATAAAAAAAAGAGGGGAGAGCGAGAGGAAAACAGAGGGTACGCGTCGGGCGATCACGACAGCCGGATGAAATTCGCGGTGAGGAGCGGTCGTCGCGGTGTCTCACGACGCTCATCCACGCAACGGCTTTCGCCTCGTTGCGTGACTGACGGCAACGGGATCGATTAATTAACAATGAAGAGGAGTCATCACGGTCCGTGAGGGACACATCCGGAGTCGGCAGGGAGCGGAAGAGAAACTCGATGCGGATCCGGCCGTCGTGGCTTCTTCAGGCACGTCGACGTTCGTGGGACGTTGCGGGCAAGTTAATATTCCGCGTTAATTAGCGGCCTGAGCAGCGAAGATCGGGGAGAACGGCGAAACGGCGTTAATGCGCGCAGCGCAAAGCGCGAGAGAGATGTGTTCGTGATGCGAGAAGGAGCGGCGAGTGAGGGTGGTGATTTGTTCTGAGGGGAATACATACATATATATATACACGTGCACAGTGGCGGTGGTACACACCTGGGTAACGTCGTGCGCGCGGAAAAAGGTAGGAAGCAGCCGAGAGAGAGGAGACACACACCGCGGATCCTCGCGTAAAAAGTTCTGCGAACGCGCTCGAGGGAGAGCCGGAAGAGTTGCGGCAGACGACAAACATTTGCGGGGGGCAACGTTTACGCCGGAAGCCATCGCTCTCCTCTCTCCTCTCTCCTCTTCTCCTATCTCGCGGCCCAACAACTGACGATAAAAGGAGAGTCGTTAGAAGCCTGAGAAGAAACGGAAGAAGTGGAGGTAGAGGAGCCCGCAAAATGACCGAAGTAAGCTGGAGTAATAGCGGAACTAGTGCTTTCGCACGGATACACGAGAGCTAAGCGCGGTTATTGCTCGCGGCCGGCTCGCTGGCGAAGGAAAAACACGTGGCGCTGTTGAGAGATTAAAGGAACGGGATTCACCCGTCTGGATCGATTAAATCGTACGGAAGTTGGATAATAAGAAGTACGAGGCGATAATTCAATTTTGATTGAATCCGCGCAAGGTGTCGGCGATATCGGTATTTTTGCGACTCGCGCCCGTACGGCAAATAGAGAGGAGACTCGGAGGCAAGCCGCGACGAGCGGTCCGGGGCCGGCCGCTGAAGACATTCCGCGCGATCCCCTGCCGTGAAATCGGAACGCAAGCACAGGAATTTTTTTCGAGATAACCGACGTGATCGGTATTCCCTGGGTTTTCTTAAGAAGCGTACAGGCGGCAACGAGGAATTCCGCCGCGCGAGAGAAGCGACGGAACGTGGGAAGGAACGTCGTCTCGCGGCTGTGTGCGAACAAATCGGCAAACGCAGAGGTATTCCGGCTCGTTCGGTCGAGCTGCCGGCCGTCGTCGAATCGGATGCAGCCACCCGACTGTCTCTAACGCACCGAGGAATCGACGATTTTCTCGTCGGGAAACACGTTCTCTTTTCCCGAAGTGCCTCTTTCCCTCTCTTTCTTCCTCTCTCTGCTCTCTTTTTCAATCCCCCTTTCTCATTCTCCATCACTTGGCGAGGATCGAGGAGCGTTGAGGTTTTCTACGGTATAGTCGATTACGCGGAAATTCCCGACGGTGTGGGCTACGAGGTGTGACTTTTTCCCTCGCTATCGTCGTCGTCGTCGTCGTCGTCGTCGTCGTTGTACAAACGTTCGCGATTATCGCTGCACAAATGTCAAGTGAACGATGAAGTACTCGGGGGCGCAGGCGAAGAAGAAGAAGCGGAGCGCCACTTCGCGCGGCGAATCGTGCTCCAGGTGCGGCAAGTGTCTGACCAAAATGCAGCTCGTACTACTGTCGGTGCTACTCTACTCCTCTCTGACGACAGGTGAGACAGCTTTAATCTCGCAGGAACGACGACGTTTCCGTTGTTTCCTTCCCTTCTACCCTTCTCCTTCTGCGTCTCTCTCTCTCTCTCTCTCTCTCTCTCTCTCTCTCTCTCTCTCTCTCTC